ATTATATATATATATATATATATAGGATGAGCACAGAGTGTACAGCGGTCTATGCGGTCTATGCTATATATGCGTTTTTATCTCTGCATACACAAAAACAGCCGGAAAGGATACCGTATGCTTTCGGTGTGCAGTATGTAGACAAAATAGTTGAAGTTCCGCGATATTCGATTAAGGAGAAGATAATTGAAGTCCCCAAGGTGTTGGTGATAGAACGCATCATCCCTGTCCTAAGGAGCTACAGAAAGGAGCAGGTGGCCTATGTGGAGCCGGGTGCCCAGGTAAGCCCTCACATCTAAGCACTTGACCCCAGTCTTCTGCTGGTTTCCTCCGTCCAGTGGTGCTCTTCAGGTAGCGTGTTCAAGCTGCGTTGAGCTCGCCACTGCAGACGCCATTCTGCTGCTTGCCCAGCTCATCTCTTAGATGCTTTCTGTTTGGTGCCCCTGCAGATACCATTTGACGGGCAGCACACCGCCCCTTACAAACCCCAAAATCAGCAAGAGCAGCAATATGCAGCTAATCCTACGGCGCGATATCCTGACGTCGTCAAATTGCCCCCCCTGTGGGCACAAGACAGCCCCGCTACAAGTACTCCTAAAACATGCCCGATTGACGGTCCCCAAGGGGGCATCCTTGGGAGTTCCCAAGAAGGCTTCTCTCTGGGCAGCTCCCAAGGGAGCCCACAGGGGGGGGCCCAGCAAAGCCCGCAGGAAAGCCCCTTTAGGGGCCCTCTGGAGGCCCCATTTGGGGGCATCCCCGAGAGGCGCTACAATCTGGGCCCCCCCGCAGAAGCTGCGCGCGGAGGGGGGGGCGAGTGGAACTTGAGGAGTCAGAGGACAGCGCCCAACCTTCGGGGGAGTGGCTCTGGTGAATACGACAGCAGCGGTATGATGGGTCTGCGGCAGTCAATGAGCGGGCCCGCTGCTGCTGCTGCTGCCCCACTGGGTAGCTCGCCTGCAGGGGATTCTATGGAATTTGCAAAAACTCCTTCTGTAAATTAACGACGAGAAGCAGCAGGTGTGTTATTCTGTTGTGGGTTGCAAGACAGTCGAACAAACTCAACTTAATGAGCAGCCGCCAACTACGCAAGCATGACACGGCTAGACGGCTGCCAGGCCAGCGGGCCCCAAAACTTCATCTTTTTTTTCAGAAGACTACGCCGAAACACCCCCTGATGAACTACTACTGTTGCGCTGGGGTATGGGGGTGCTGACAGCCTCTTGTCACACGCCCCCAGCGCTGCAGCGGAGGCACCTATGAAGGCCTCCGCCCAGGCGACCTACGGGAAAATGCTGTTAGGTCTTGTGAACTGATGAATTTTTACTTTTGAAGGAGCACGTTGCGGGCTCACAGGATGCGGATATCTGTACAGTACAGCCGAACTGAATTGTCAGAAGTCTTTGGACGCTGCTGTAATCTCATTTTCCGCTCCGTCGCTTACAAATCCAACTCAATGACACGGCTCAGGTCTTGCTCCAACTGCCTGCATCGCACAGTGCATACTCCAACTTCAGCAGGTAAACGACTTTAGGGCGTTTGGCGTAGGGTGACAGAGCGAGCACGAAAAGGGTTTGAGGGGATACGCCTAATATGCTTTACTCCAGGACAGCATCTGCCCGCAGTTTGGAGAGAGATTGTCCATTTGGTCTTGAAGGCCCTAGGGCTGCTGTTGCTGTTGCTGCTGCTTCCGTTGCTGCTCCTGTTGCTGGGTTGGCGCTTGCGGCGGGAGAGGCCTTCATGCTGCCGTCGTGTCGCAGTAGCTTTTTATGGGCTAAAAATGTATTAACCAGCGCCGCTAATTTGGGAAATGTGTAAAACAGAGGGAATATAACCGGCACCGCAGCAGCAACGAATTCGCACAAACTGGCCGAGTCTGCCCAAGGAGAACGCGCACACATAATAAATGCAGAGCTGATGTTGATTTTTATTGCATTATATAGATACTGTGGCGGTCCCATATTCTCAGGTGCACCCCACAAGCAAACTAAAGTACCGATGTAGTCAATGCCCGAACTATCACACGAACGAATAGCTAAAACACCTCAAAAACACTAGTGGCCATGTAAACGCCGAACAACAATCAGAATAGATGCTGAAATCATGGACCACAGCACGAGGCAGAATGGGGAAATCCAAAAAGAAGCGAAACAACACCAAACCTCGAACACGAAACAATAAAAAGAATGAAAAAGCACATACAACATGCGCACAGATAAGTGAAGACTTGCAAACACCGCAAAGCATGCTAACAAACCAAATCACCGGACCGAAAACAAGTGGAGGCAGCACTGCAGGCAATTTTTCCCTATGGAATAAGCACGTAGAAGTCTTTCGCCTGTGCCGAGTACTAGAACGAACAGGTACATACACTGGCTGTACAGGGAAAAACAATAATACCTAATTACACTACAAAAGAGTATGTATGGTAAGGGTGCGGATTTTGGGATATCGCGAAGGTCTACACGGGAGGAGGCCAGTCCAACTTAGGTTGTTAAAGCCATTAATCAGAACAAAACGTACTACTACCATTTGCGTATACAGATATACATGCATAGTATATGTGCTACATGCATAAGGAATATGCATAACGCTGCTTCGGAGACAGCGGCTCCTGCCCTTGTGTAGTACTTGTTCAACAACGGCATTTTCTTTCATGGAAACGCGGTGTATGCCCAGCATCACATTCTCAAAAGCACCATTGAGTAGCAGTTTAAGTAAACAGAGATGCATCCAGAGGGTAAGCACAGACACTTCAAGTACCACAAAGTTCGTAGTGCTTGATGGCTTCAAGAAAGACAGCGTTCGCAGTTTCGGCCGCAAAGGTGGGGTCTGTCTCTCTGCTTTCTCCTGGATAAGGCTTGTTGTGTCGCAAGTCGCATGCGACACAAACAATACACTTCAAATAAAATAGGCAAAGATCCACGCGGCTCAACGGCTGCAAGGCAGGATGCACCGTCGCCGACTGCTGCCCTAGCACATGAACCCCCTCCGCAGGACTGCAGGACAAAACATCAGCAGAAAAAGGCAGCGCCACGTAGAAGCAGCGGAAGCAGCAGACGAAGGACGCAACTACCAGGAATAGCAGAAAGCAGCAGCAGGGAGCGTCAGAGCACAGCAACAGCAGCAGCACGCGGCAACAGGTCAGCGATTGTGCAGTAAGAAAAGCAAATGCACACACACAGAAAACAAAAACAGGAAGAGTTGCGCGACGCCTAGGACAAGTTAGACCTTATATACCGCGGGGTTTTGCTGCATTTGTGTTTTTGCCCTTTGTTGCGCTCCTCCTACAGGGGCAACCCAAGCCTCATTGCTGCTACCCAGTCCTAGAAGTACATTTTGTTTTGTTTGTGCCATTACTACATACTATTAGTATTGCTGAGCTTGTTTTTAATACAACTGAGCACTCCCATTCACGCTTTTTTGTTCCTCACTAGGATTTGCCGCAGTGTACTGCCATTCTACTTTTTTTATTATAATTATTGTTGGTGTGCATGCAGTTAGTTCTGCCGGGTATTATTACTTATGCTTTGAGTGTCTGCAGGGACTAGAGCTGCTACAGAGGCTCCGCTCACTCTGGAAGGTCTTCGCAGTCTGAATGAGCAGCAGCTGCTGCTGGTACAGCTGCTGTTGTTGCTGCAGCAGCTCCTTCTGTCGCGGCGTTTCTCCAGAGAAGAGCAGCTTTCTGCTGCAGCAACCGGGAGAGCAGCGGCAGCATGCGCTGTGCGCTACTGCAGGAGCAGCAGACTTTGTCGACTGCCTCCAGGGCGAAGCCGCACACAAACAAACCCTCGACCCCTTGGGGCCGCTTGAAGCACTGCGAATCCAAAAAGAACCCCACCATTTCCCACAGGCGCTCGTCAGTGCCAGCCGCAAGGCAGGCTTCTATAAGAACCTGCAGCGCTGCTGTCTCCTGCAGCCCCACACGCCGCAACACAACCAACAGAGAAGCCAAAAGCCATCTGCTGAAAACAGAAGGAAACACCCGCCAAACATGAGGAACAAATATAAGCAAGCCACACATGATGTACACTCTTAAATATATATGAACCCAAATGTAGAAATGCATACACTCCATGGTGATAGTCGAGTGTATGTACACCTGCAGCTGGATGATTTCTTCTGCTGCAATAGGCGGAGGTGTTTGGCCTGCGAGTGTGGGGGCCCCCATGCGCGTGTAGACCTCGAGTTTCAGCAGCAGCAAATTGAGGATTGCATGCAGCAAATTGGCGGCCAGAAGATGCTGGAGTATCGATGCAGGCAGCTGCAGCAGCAGCCTTAAGGGGTTCTGCACCACGCACAGGTAATAAGAATCCAGCAAAGCTTCTGAGAAACGGGGAGGAACAACAGCAAGCCTCTCGATAGAAAAGAGTGCTGCTGCCTCCTTGGCCAGTGTAACCGCATCTGCTGCTGCTGCTGCATCTCCTGCTGCTGGTGCTGCTGCGTCTGTAGGCACGTCGTCTGCAGTCGGGCTGAAGTCTCCACAAGCAGCAGGAGCATCTGCGCAGTTTTCTTCCACGTTTTCGAAAAAGAAATTGATTAAACAACAAATTGCAGAGGAGATGCCAGCCAAAGGCTCGCTGGCCACAAACAGCTGTAGCGCCTCGCCATCAGCCTCCGCAGCAGCGACCGCAGCAGCAGCAGCAAAAGCAGGCGATGAAGCCGCTGCCTCTGCTGCTGCTCCTCCGCCCGCCAAAGACCTACCAAAAGGACTCGCTGCTACGGCCCTGAAAAACAAAGGAAAGAGAAGTATACACTTAACCATGCAGCAGAATGCAGAATATATACGTCTGCCAATCTCTCTGTACGCAATATATGCATACATATGTATGTGGATGCATAAACGTATATATAAACATACGGACGTACGCAATATGTGTATATATGTAGGTAAACATGCATACACACCCAGTACAAATAAAATACAAGCCTATAATACAAAGGGGTTTGCATATTCGCATAAATATACACGCATATATGGATAAACAGATATAGCACGCACATATTTGCGCCTTTGTGTATATATATATATATATA